TTTTAACTTTTTGTTAAAATGAACGAAATTTAAAGAGTATTTTATAATGTCTAATGGAGCTGAACATTATTTTTCTGTTTAGATGCATTTAAAATGATCAAATTTTATTTCAGAGAACAATAAAATAAAATTTTGTTTGATTAAAAGCCTGCTAACATGGAAGTACCCAAGAATCATTTGAGGCACATAATGCTTTATGAGTTCAAGAAAGGAAACTCAGCAGCCGAAGCGGCTAGAAACATTCACTCAGTTTATGGAGAGGAATGTGTGAATGAAAGAAATGGCAGAAGATGGTTTGCAAAATTCAGAGGTGGAGATTTCACCCTTGAAGATGAAGATCGAACCGGACGTCAAGTTAAGTTTGATGAAAAGCTTCTTGAAGCAGCCCTTGACGAAAATCCTGCTTTATCAGTTGAGGAATTGGCAGTGGTTCTCAGTTCAAACCATACAACTGTTCATCGTCATCTTCAACAACTTGGAAAAGTTCCTAAACTTGGAAAATGAGTGCTTCATGAATTGTCTGAAAACAACCTCAAATCCCGAGTTGACATCTGCTCTTCTCTCCATTCTCGCCAACTTGTTTCACCTTTTTTGGATAAACTTGTGACTGGAAACGTAAAATGGATCTTTTATCGAAATGTTAAGCGTGGTAAATAGTGGCTTGGTAAAGGGGAAGGACCCCAGCCACGACCGAGAAAGGAACTTCATGGGCAAAAGGTTCTTCTTTCAATCTGGTGGGATCGCCAAGGAATAATCCACTTTGAATTCTTACCACCTAATGCAACAATTAATGCTCAAATATACCGTCAGCAATTAGAGCGTTTGCACCAAGCTTTGAGGAAATAAGACCTGCTCTAGTGAATCGAAAAGGGGTGATGTTTCATCAGGACAATGCGCGAACCCACACAGCAAGAATCACGTCACAAAAGATCGAAGAACTTGGTTGGGAGAAAATTCCTCATCCACCTCATTCTCCCGATCTTGCTCCTTCAGACTACCATTTGTTTCGCAGCTTACAGAATCATTTGGAAGAAACAGCTTTTGTAACACAGGAAGAGGTTAAAACTGACATTTGTGAGTTCTTCGAATTAAAGCCAAAATAATTTTACAGTAATGGAATTAGTAAGCTTGTTAATAGATGGAAGGAAGTCATAGATAATCAGGGAAAATACATTGTTGATTGAATCTGTAATTAAATGTAACATTTGGTCACTTGTTTTCTTTATTCAAAATTCGGACATAAATTATGGGATGACATGATACAAAAAATTGTTCTCACCAGTACAGCTCGCACCTTACGAAGGGCTTTATCTATGTCTAATGCGGGTGGTTTTAGATTGAAATTGCTCAGTGGAAAATGTCATGATGCCATTTTTGACCTTAGGTCTCTGGTCGGGACCCAGAAAGAAATGAGTGTACACCAAAAATCAAAGGAAATAAAATAATAATAATAATAATAATAATAATAATAATAATAAATGAGGTAAAAAATAAAACAAATAAAACAAATGAAATACGAAATAATCTCCCAGGAAATAAAATTAAAGACTCTACCTTAAACACAACCTGCAGTTCACCAGACATTGTCTGTAAAGATGACTCCAGTTACATTAAGTTAGAATTCCTCGAAAACCACAAAGCTGAAATCACCGAAGCGAAAAATGACGTCATACAAGTACTCAGCAGCGTAACTGTCATACAATTGTCAGACAGAGACCAGCTCCACAAAATTCATATGACGAATTCCAACAAGCACATCGTGAAAATATACAATGCTGCTCTGGAAACACTGTTAACAGATAAACCACCGGGAAACATCACAGAAGTTAACAACGTCATATACGCAACAGCTTTAGCAGCGACTCGGAAGCTTGGGGTCAAGACAATAAATAAAATTAACAGACACAGAGAACCAGCTTGGAAAACCAAACTGATTCGAGAAATAAAACAAATCAGATGTGAGCTTTCTATATTAGATGAGCTCACCGGAAACACTAATATTTCCACACTCAAGTGCAAAAAGATCAACCGGAAATATAAAATTACATACTTAATTGACATTCCATCAATCAAGGAAATGCTGAAGCGGAAACGTCAGCTAAAGGCACAGAGAACAAGGCGATACGAAAAACGTTGTAGGTTCTATCGCCAAAATAAAATATTCCTAACAGATCTTAAGAAATTTTACAGGGAAATTTGAAAAACACCTATACATGTCGAAAGGCCACCATCGATTGCTAATGTACAGACATTTTGGGAAAATATTTGGAGCAGCCCAAAGGAATATAAACCAAATGCAGAATAGATCCGACGTGGAGAAGAACAAATCCTGGATACACCTCTGCAAGAATGGGAAAATATATCCACAGATGATGTTAGGCAAGCTCTAACGAAATCCCAAAAATGGAAATCCCCAGGAAATGAGAAGGTGCCCAATTTCTGGCTTTATCATCTCTCATCTAGCCATGAAATTCTTGCAAAAACATTATCACTTGTAAATAATCTCAATGAAATCCCGGAATGGATTACTGTAGGTATTACATACCTCATGCCAAAAACAAATGAAACAGACAACCCGAAAGATTATAAACCAATAACATGTCTCGCCACAACGTATAAGTTGATCACGTCTGTCCTGACGAACCGTACTTATTCCTTTTTCGAAACAAACAGCATTATTCCGATGGAACAGAAAGGATGCAGAAGAGATTCATATGGCTGCAAAGATCAACTGCTGATAAATAAAAAGATCCTGAAATCTAAGTGCAGCGTGGATTGATTATCGTAAAGCCTTTGATAGTGTTCCACATTCTTGGATCCTTAAGACTTTGGAAATGTACAAAGTCTCCCCTGTGGTATTAAATTTCCTTAAGCACAGCATGGGAATGTGGAACATCAAACTATACCTTAGTCACACCAGGGGCACTACCATATCCAACCGCCTAAATATCCGACGTGGAATCTTTCAAGGAGACTCTCTGTCACCCCTTCTGTTTTGTTTGTCCTTAATCCCTCTTACACAAGAACTGAACAACAGTAGCTATGGTTACAAAATAAATAAGAAAATATTCAATTACCTACTCTACATGGATGATCTCAAACTCTTTGCCAAAGATGACGATGAGTTGAAAGGCCTCCTCAATATTGTAAAATACTTCAGTGACGACATAGGTATGGACTTCAGATTAGATAAATGGGCAAAAGTAACATCCAAGATATGTAGAATTAAAGAAAGACCCTTAATAGATTTAGATTTTGTCACAAAGATTAGGGAACTGGATCATGATGAAGCTTATAAGTACCCAGGAATTAGCGAAGGAGATGGCATACAACACCCCCAAATGAAATAAAAAATAAGAAAAGAGTACTACAGGCGTCTACGTGTGGTACTACATACCGATCTAAACTAAAAAAACAGAATATCAGCCATAAACACATTGGCTGTCTCTGTGGTGCAATACAGCTTTAATGTCCTTAACTGGACCATAGCTGAATGGGTGCCAAAACGAGAAAGCTTCTTACTTGCTATCGCATGCATCATCCCAAAGCTGATGTTGATCGTCTGTATGTGCCCAGATCCGAAGGAGGCAGAGGACTAGTTCAACTAGAACTGTCCTACAAAACTACAACAATTGGCCTCCAAAGAGGAAACTACAGAAGACTGGATGGTGGCATGCGTCAAGGTATAATATAATCATTCCACTTCATGTCAATGAAATATGCGAGTCGAAGAAGACGCAAATGTTGCTCTTCTGATGGGAAGCAGTAAAGGTTCTCTGTGTTAAATAAATTAAAACTGTTTTGCTTTGGAGGCGTTAAAACGTACAAGCCATTCCTTGCCCCAGTTAACCATTGATTGGACGTCCTTTTCGAGAGCAGTTGTCAGTTTTACTTTTGTCAGATGTCGGACGTACTATTTGTGTTATCTTTTTGGAAGTGATGACATCGGAAAGGTCGTTAACGAAGATCAGAATCAATGTAGTTTCGAGGATAGAGCTCTGGGCGATCCGTGCATTAATATGAAATGGACTAGAAGCGTATCTATTCAACGCAACCTTCATTATACGATTTGTTAGGAACGATTGGATTCGGCCAAATATTTGTCCAGAGACACCTTAACTCTTGAATTTGTGGAGAAGGCCAGTATGCCAAATCTTTTCGAATGCCTTTGCGATATCTAAAGCTTGATAAACAAATTAGGTGATGACTGCAAACGTTGTCTATATTGTTATGTGGACAATAGTGTCTGATATGATTATCTTAACTTTATCTAGAGGCCAGCAAAACCCCACGAAATCCAATTTGCATTCATTTATACATGTGATTATATTCATACTATGTGAAAGTTTATTAGACAAGTCTATGTTTACTGCTGAGAAATCAGTTTTCATGTACTTCTTCGCCAAACGTACAAGAACCTCGTTGTGTTCATGTAATTTAGTGGCTGTCATTTATTTAAGCAGTGCCATTATTCTTCATTTCTTTTGGTTTATATTTGCAACATGACTTTCTTCAAATATTTCTTTGCTGTTAAATATATGTTTCTCATTTATTACGTTTTTAATTTTTCACAAATCTGTTTTTGTGACAATTTTAAAGCTATATTTTCTTGCCAATGCTTTCAATTTCATTTTTTATTATGCTAAAGTATTGATAAACAGAAATATTTCATTAGAAACAAAAAAAACAGTCTTGAACTGTTATGTAATATCTGTCCTTCTGTATGACAGTGAATGCTGGACAATCTCCTCACCGATGAAGAAAAGACTTGAGGCATCAGAAATATGGTTCTGCAGAATGATGATAAGATTTCAATGAACCAAACATGTGAGCAACGCGAAGTTTTGGCGCCAAAAAGGATACTTATATTTAACATTAAGAAGAGACAGTTGAAATTTCTAGTGCACATAATGAGGAAAGAGGGCTTGGAAAATTTGATATTCACAGGATAGATTAAAGGAAAGAGGACGTTATATACAATAAGATTTACAGCTACATTACGTTGAAACACCTGTCCCCGTATGATCAGCGAAGTTAAGCAAAGTCAAGCCTGGTCATTACCTTGATGGGTGACCGCTTGTGAATAACAAGAGCTGGAAGCTTCAATGTACGATTAGAGTAATCGACTTACAGCTACATTACGTTGAAACACCGGTTCTCGTACGATCACTTAAGTTAAGCAACATCGAGCCTGGTCAGTATCTCGGTGGGTGACCGCTTCGGAGAGCTGAGTTCCAATTCCGGTTGCTTTCGTTATATTCACTTACGCACAAATACACTTGGAAATGTTATGAATCCACTTCGTCTCCCCCAGCCTATGGGTTAATTAGTAAGATTTGTAACACTAAACCAAAACTTAAATTTCTTACAATCTAAAAATATTTTCTGGCTGTAAATAACCTGCAAAGGTTGATAAGCCATGAGAAAACGAATCAATCAAATAATGATGATCTACACTGGATGTATTTTAGATTTATTTACATTCCATGGAATATAAATATATATAAATTACCGTGCCCATAAAGTGAGGGATCTGTTTATGTATTAATTTTAATATAGAATTGATCCTCTACTTTATATACACATTATAAGTTCTTGTGTGTTTATCAAATTCTATTTAGGTATGAGTCCACCTCGTCTTCCTCCAGCTATGGGTTAATTAATAAGTCTTGTCTTGCTAAATCATTATTATCTAAAAAAAAAACTCTCAATATATAAAAAAATATTTTCTGACCTAAAATCGCCTGCACAGGGTTGATAAACCATAAAAAAGAATTAATCAATTAAATTAAATATATCAGTTTGTAGGAAATCACGAAATGAGTTCCAGTCAGTGCGTTACTTAGAAAAACTCTTTCAATATGTTTCTAAGAAAAAAAAAGACCCTTATTTAAGTTAGGTCAGATGATAAACAGCAATATAAAATAAACAAATAAATAAATATAATAATAATAATGATAATAATAATAATAATAACAATAAAAATAATAATAATAATTGCACGATATTGGCACCCACTGAATATAAAACCCGACATGACAGAGTGAGCCAATATCTGCACTGGAAAATATGCAACTTGTACGGAAGGAAACTGAAAGAAACTGGTATGAACACCACCCAGACCCGGTTACGGAGATAGGACCTGTTACAGTTCTATGGGATTACACAATACACACTGACAGAACAATCAAAGCCAACCGCCCAGACATTGTTATTAAAGACCACAAACAAACAAAAAAGTGTCTCCTTATTGATATGGCAGTCCCTGCTGACTGCAGTGTATCTTTGAAGATATTCAAAAAGCTATAAAAATAAAAGGACCTTGAAACAGAAATCTCAGAAATGCGGCATATGGGAACATCAATAATCCCTGTTGCAGTTGGAGTCCAAGGATTGATTGGAAGAGATTCCAGTAGACTAATTTAAGGGATTACTGGAAGTCCATGCCCCAAAGAGATACCAAAAATAGTTCTGACAAGTACAGCCCACACTTTACGAAGGGCTTTATCTATGTAATTTTTTTTGTTCGTAAAAAGTGTCATGATGTCATTTGTAACATTAGGTCCTGGGCGCGACCCGGAAAGAAATGGATACAGGCCAGAAATCAAAGGAAAAAGAATAAAAATAATAACAACATCAGCTTTCTCTTGAGGCTGCTCTACAAAACAAAATAAACACTGCACTTGGAGGTTGGCATATATATCTACATTTCCATCGAAGCAAAGGCCTGGTCTCTTAGTTTTCTACTAATCAATGGAAGACTGTCAGATCGTAAACATGGTTGAATATGCTCCACGTAGAATGAAGACGAAAAAACAAATGGAAAAATACATGTTCCTGGAACTGAAAAAAATGTCGAAATGAAGGTTAGTTTTGCAACATTCATAGCTAGCGATATTGGAATTGTGATAAAATAGACCCCGGTTATGATTAATTAGAAATTCGAACTGAGATTCTCCTAAGAATGCGGGCCAATGTTCTTTTAGTCTCTCCGTAGGGAATAATATTTTTTGACAAAATATATTTTCTGATCCACTGGCATGACCGTAAGGAATAGAGTAACGAAGCTTCATGGCAGATCTACTTTTAATGTGATTTAAATCGCATGGAAACGGTTTTATTCCCATTTACGATTTGCTTCCTTTTTTACTCCATTCTACGCATAAAAGTCACTTTCATCCGACCAACGTCAAGACTAAAATTTAATGATTCGCTCGTAAAAAATAGGGACAGAATTTTTTTTTAAACTGTTTTCATCAGAATTGAAAAATATTGATTTTTTATAACTTTAGAAGACGACATTCTTTTTAATATTATGCAGTCACAAATCTATCCACTTCAGAAAGAGTTATACATAGTTTATTTTTATTTACCACTGTCAAAATTTGAACATTCATGAGCATGAGGATAAACTATAATCAGATGCAAGTCCTCTGAACCTGGAACCACCTCTTAATTACTGGTGTTCTCAGGTCCTCTCTGACTGTTAGGGTCCTAGCTATGGGCAAATAGTTAACCCCCAAGCACGGCTCAAACACTATGAAACTATAAACATAGATTTTTATAGTAAAAGTACCAATACATTTTTGAAAAAAATAACTAGTAATACATATAACTCTCGACCAAAACAAACTTTACAAAAATACGCCAATGAAACCTGATATACAAACTGATTTCTTACAATGAATACATATTCTATTCATACGAACCCATCCTCAAAATCTTGTAGGCATTAAATAACCCACTGAGGTGTTGATATGCCGTAAATTGAAATAAACCAAACCAAACAGAACCAAATTTGAAAATCTGTGTATACGTCATTGATAATTGCGTAGTATTGCGAATTAAGAAAAAGGATGGCATCGGCAGTACACAGATACCAATGACGTAAGAACAGTTTAAAAGTTGGACTTACGGCCACATCACGCTCAGTTATCTGTTCCCATACGGTCTTTCTCGAACAAAAGAAATCTTAACGGAGTGGAAAATATCCCTCGAAGCGAAGAAAAGAATTTTGAACTGCATTGTCTTTACCTTATTACGTATATGGCAGTGAATACTGAACATTCTTTTCACAGATGGTCCAGATTCCAATCAACAGTGAAGAGGTTCTTTCAACGAATACTGAAAATATCTTTGACTGAACATGCGTAAGAGCTTTAAGAAAATAAGCAACTAAAATGACATTTCTTATAAGAAAGAGTTGAAATTTCTGGTGCACATAATAAGGAAAGAGAAGCTAGAGAATTTAACACTCACAGGACATAACGAAGGCAAGAGAAACAAATCGAAAACAACAGTAGCCTTCTGTTATATAGGAATAAAGTGTCGCTGTCGACACTTGAGTTTGAACATAGATTGCCAGTGGGAAAACACAATAGATTCCTAAGTATCTGTCTATATTTCTGAGATGAGGTATTATGTACATTATTTACATTATTCGGACTATTGTCCCCATCTTCGTCGCCATATTTAAAATTTAGAAAATTCGTATACTTAAGGAATCAGCACATATGCTATGCCACAAAAAATCTCCTGAGTCGAGCAAGCATAGAAATGAATACAATATGGGAACCAGTAATAAGGAGTGCCAGAGAAAAGCGATAATGACAAAAAAAATTGCAATATGAGTTCTAGTAAAAACATGTAATGATAACAGCAGTTAGTTAGATCCAGTGACAGGACCAAAAGAGTGTGAGTTCAATACCTGGTTAAGGCGGTGAAGAACTTGGAGAGGGCAATTAACAGGAGATAACTGATAACTGACATCCATAAGAATGGCACGTGGAACTAGAACAGTCTACCCCAGTGAGCGAAATAAAGGGTTCAGTTTGACATTCCAATCACCTGAAGAAGACCGGAGCGTACAACGGCCGAAATGTTGTAATAAATATGACGAAGACAATATTCTGAATAATGGTGAACCCGTTATTGAATTAAGTAGACCTCGTGACCATAGAGGAAACGCATATATGTAGGAAGTATCTGACGATTACGGATCGCTATTTCTAGTCTATCCTCTATTACTATTCGGATCTCTATTCCCTGTACTTTCTCTACAATTCGGATCACTTTTCCATCGAATATTATCGAGCAAGTACTATTAGTGCGATTGTAATTCGAAGACGTGCAGTATTGTTCAACGGTGTTACTATAGATGTATCTGCGATTACAAAGTCTCTACTACAACGAGCATTACGAAAGTGACAACGAATATTCGTTGATATCACAAAAGTGGCAACGAGTGTTCGTTGACATCACAAAACCTTCCGAACGAGATTGTGTGAAGAAATGGCAGAATATGGAAAATGAGGTATTGTAAAGATTAAAAAGTTACTTCAAACAAATGACAAGACGTTGTGGAGATCCGGGTCCTGAGGAAATATGGCACATAAAAGAAGAAATATTAGAGAAGCAAATCACGAATACAGTGATTGCCAAAATTATTTTATAAAATGTTCCTCTGTGCTTGGCGCCTATGAAACAAAAACAGACTAAGAGCTTCAGCACGCATTATTCATTAAACCGAGTGTGGCACAAGGCCACAATGCTCGAGCGTTCATAAGAGGTAGTCTAGCATATCTAGGTTATTATCAATAACTCTAGAACAGAGGTGCCGCTATACATTTATTACACATGGATTGCCGCAGCCATGCCAGCGATAGTCGAATTGGCAAGAATACGGAGGCGCAAAATCAGCTTTCAAAGTACAGACTCTATAAATCGTCGGTAATCTCCATTCTTCTATATAGATATGAAACAGGAACACTTTTGGCAGATACAGAGAGAAGGGGCCAAGCGTTTGAGAACAAATGCCTGAGAAAACACCTTGGCATCTTCTGTTGGGAACATAAAACCAGTGCGGAAAAGGGTTGAAAGTTTTGTGGGCCACCAGGAACCTCTTCTCGCCACTGTCAAACGGAGAAAAATGGCGTAGTTTGGACACATTAAAAGACATAACAGCCTGTGCTAGACCATCATGCAAGGCACCATTGAAGATGGACGGAGGAGAGGACGCCAACGCAAAAACTGGTTGGACAATGTTAAACAATAGACAGGTATGATTATACAAGGATTGCTGATGGTTACCGTTGTAAGACCGTTGGGGGAGATTTAGTGTGGCTTCTGTACTCGGACCCGCCCTACGATTACAAAAGTCAAGGGGATAATGATGATGGTGATGATGACAGTTAGGATGTCACAATAGTCGTGAATATTAAACTAACGA